CCCCACCCTCCCGCCCGGCTCTGGGGAGAGGAAAGGGGTTAAAACGTACCTTTCTCCAGAGCCGGGCAGGGAGCTCTCCTCTTCCTATCTTTCGGCTGAATGCGCACGCGTGGCAAGAGCTGCGCGCGCATTCAGCCGGTCTCATAGGAAAGCATTTATAATGCTTTCCTATGGATGTTTGCGTGTTCTCACTGTGATTTTCACAGTGAGAATCACGCAAGCGCCTCTAGCGGCTGTCAATGAGACAGCCACTAGAGGATTTGAGGGCTGGAATAACCCATTTATAAACATAGCAGTTTCTACGAAACTGCTATGTTTATAAAAAAATGGGTTAACCCTAGCTGGACCTGCCACCCAGACCACTTCATTAAGCTGAAGTGGTCTGGGTGCCTAGAGTGGTCCTTTAATATGCTAAAATTCGAGTTTCCTCTGACCTCTTTTCCACTTCGTTGAGATGTCGAAAAACCTATCCGCAAATTACAGAGACACTATGCACCCACATTATCAGGATACCCTACTCACTGTGTCTCTGTGGAATGGAGTCATGTAAACAATTCAATCTCCAGCCTACGATTCTTGCAGCAATGGGAGCTGACACCTCTGCCCCACCATCACGCATATCTTCCGAAAGGAAAACTATGACCAACTGAGACAAACCAACACTAAAATAGGACTGATCCTTTGATACACACGTTGGTCTGCAAGTATTTTGATGCCATGCTCGATCTGTGTTTGGCTTCACCTGACTGAATGCGATTAAAATGTTAAAAGTGAACTCCACTGGTGAATACGTACCTTCCCCACTATATTGCTCCTCTACCTGCAGCTGGGTGTGTGTGGACCTTGGTTATCTTACACCTTTTCACATACTTGTTGAGAACTTTTGAAATATTGTTAGATAGAAAGTTTCTTATGTCTTCCTCAAAGATAAAACTTAGACTTTAAGTTTCTATATACTGCAATATATTGAAAAAATTAATGGTTTTATGTTGCTTGACCTTTGCCGGGCAAAACTACTGCACTGGCTTATCTTATCATGCCTTCCCGTTGCATGTAACTAGTACCAAGTCCTTACTTTGAGCCACTTTGTATATACTTTGGTTTCCAATGTTGGTTCCTGTTTTTGTTCTCCCTGTCCCATTTGCCCAATACAACCTTCACCAAGCACTGGGCACTTTGTGTCCCCCATCCTCGCCCAATTAATAGAGTACACGCTTGTTTAAAGGAACATATTTTTGTGTTGTAAACGCCATGAAACAGCAGGAAGCGCCTCTAGAGGCTGTCTGGGTTTTCCCCAAAACTGCAAAGTTTTACATTGCAGGGCTAAGGAGGAGAAGGACAATAAGGTGAAGTGGTTTAGGTGCCTATAGTGTCCCATTAACAACACCAACATTTTATGGTACCCTAATGTTTAAGGCTTACCAAAACTACACATGAACTCTGACTGCCATGCATAGATACCCACCTCGCATCAGCGCCGGACTGGGGATACGAAGCAGCCCTGGAAAAAAAAAATCTATGCCAGCCCCACAAGTCATTGTGCTATGTAGGGTGTTTATATATTTATATATCTATATATATAGGCAATTGAAATAGTTGGCTGCACTCTCGGATTTCCTGAAAATGTAACTTTTATTGAAATATGTAAGAGAAGATCAATGTTTCAGTCCCTCTTGTGGACTTTCGTCATGATCCTGATGCAAGTCCACAAGAGGGACTGAAACGTTGATCTTCTCTTAAATATTTCAATAAAAGTAAAATTTTAAGGAAATCCGAGAGTGCAGCCAACTATTTCAATTGGATATATATTTACTGGATACTGGAGCCCTAGTGATGCAACAGTATATATATATATATATATATATATTTTTTTTTTTTTATTGATACATTACTTCTAATTCAAAATATTAGTTCTTTTAGGGTAATTAAATTATACAGTAAAACATACTCACACACAGACAGACAATCTTACTGATGCACACAAATAGGCTCATTGACAGACAATGACACACACAGACAAGGTTAGTGGCGCACACACAAATTTAGTACAGACAAACTGATACACACACACAAGCTCACTATACACACAAGCTCACTGATGCGCACACACTCTCCCTACAGACAAGCCCATTGACACACACGCTCCCTACAGAAGAGCTCACTAACACACAGATTCACTACAGACAAGCTCACTGACACACGTATGGTCACTACAGACAAGCTCACAATCACACTCATGCTTACTACAGACAAGCTCATTGTACACCCACGCTCCTTACAGACAAGCTCACTAACACACACACACACACACACATATGATCCCTACAGACAAGCTCACTCACTAGCAGGCACACACACACACACAGAGGCTCCTTCACTAGCAGATGGGCGCACACACACACAGAGGCAGACAGTCACTGACACCGAGGCAAACACCCACAAATACAAAGACAGGCAGTCTCACACACACACAGTCACGCACACACAGGCAGACAGTCACACACTCACAGACAGTCACACACTCACACAGACCTGTTTCTTACCTCCTGCTTGTAGCTCCTGGAGGCTGGTTGTTGGGGAAGCAGGGACTCCTTCCTGCTTCCCATTCTGCAGTCAGCCAGGCCCCCGCCGCACGCTAAGCTCCGCCCCCGCCGCAAATTTTTTTTTTATGATCCCGGCCGGCCGCCTGGCTCCCACCGCTCCCACGGGGCTCTATGCGGCCGCACAGCTCACACATGGGGGACATGGCCGGCCAGGATCACAGGAGCTGGCAGCCCAATGATTAGGGCTGTCAGACCAGCCCCAGGTGCCGCGGCCCACAGGGAAATTTCCCGGTATCCCGGTGGGCCAGTCCGGCCCTGCCTCGCATCATCCTTTGGAACAGCTTAATGTGTTGCCTAAATGTTTGAGAATGCTCTACGAACCATACATTCACCAATCACAACTTATCACTGCAGGTGAGACACTTACAGGCACCCGTCTCATTGTAAGCATCTTTCCATTTGAGGACCTTCTTGGGTACAATTTGAATCATCTTTCTCCTATATTGTTCCTTTGCGACTCCCCAATATTTCTATGAAAATGTATGCTCATAATGTTAGAGGTCTTAATGTGCCTTATAAGAGACATGTTATTAAAAGTCACCCAGATCATCAGCTGAGATGCTTTGCTTCCAAAAAACATACTTACCCTGAGATAAAATTATGAATTTTTCCTAACATTATATCCTTAACCTAAGTATTTGATTTTCCACATCCTCATAGCGGTTCTTACTTTACTAGCTCCTAACTGGGCGTCTGTGCATTTCCCTACTCAGCAAACCCTCTCCAAGCTGATATCCCAAACTGGTTCCTCTGCTGGCAACTTTTGGAGAACTGCCCATGCTGCCATTTTCAAACATTTTCCCAACCCCAACAATCTGAACCTAGAAAATGTCTGCCCATTGTGCTTGCCTTGTGTTCACGATCCGTAGTTTCTGCACGTCCAACTATGTTTTGCATGTATTGCAACTTAAATATACACACCAACTGCCTATTACTGTGCCTAGTGCCCTTCGTACTGCCAAAACAGCTCTGATGTGTGGAGAAGACCTCTGAATGTGTCTTATCGTATCTGGCACCAAGACATTAGCAGTAGATCCTTTAAATCATGAAGTGCGAAATCCATGGATTGGATTTGTTCCAGCACATCCTACAGATGCGCAATCGGATTAATATATGGGGAATTTGGAAACCAAGGCAACACCTTGAATTCTTTGTCAAGTTCTTCAGACCATTCCTGAACAATTTTTGCATTGTGAAAGTGTACATTATCCTGCTGAAAGAGTCCACTGCAATAAAGGCAGCCATGAAGGGGCATAAGTGGTCTGCAACAATTTCTAGGTAGGTGGTACATATCAAAGTAACATCCACATGAATGCTAGGACTCAAGGTTTCCCCAGCAGCATTGCCCAGAGCAGAACACTGCCTTTGCTGACCTACCTTCTTCCCATAGTGCATCCTGCTGCCATCTCTTTCTTAGCTAAATGAAGCACCCACACATGGCCACCCACCTAAAATCTAAAAGAAAACAATTCATCACACCATGCAATCTTCTTACATCGTTCCATAATCACTTCTGAATCGCACATCCCCACTGAAGGTGCTTTTGGTGGAGGACAGGGGTCATCATGGGCACTCTAACTTGTCAATGATTTCAACAGATTTTATAAATGACCTTGTTACACACTTGCAGCTGGTCCTGTTACTTGCAATGGCTGCACGCAAAAAAATCCTGACAATGTGATAAGATAATAAAAATAAAACAAAAATTTTACAAATATCCCTAAACCATCCATTTTACCATTTGTAGTCGGCACTCTGCTCGGACTTTAGAGCTATGGTAAGAAATCAAAGACCACCTAACAGCAGGAAAGTGCCCAACCTTACAGAGTATGTGCCTAGCCAAAAACGTTTCTCTCACATATTGGAACATGAGGACCACTATTGATGTTAAAAAAAAAAGTCTGAAAAGCATAATATTCATTCCATTTCGTTTGGATTCGTGTGTGACGAATGACAGAAGACTGATATTTATGTGGCAGAGTAATAAAAAAAATAAAGTGTCTATATCTATAAAGATATGGGTACAGTACCTACATGTCCTTTTTAGTTTCACTTTCAATTAGAGAAGCCATTATTTTTAGGATCAAACCTATGTGGCTGAGAGCGGTCGTTGCTTAGGAAAAAAAAAAACAAACAAAAAAAAGCTACGTTGCAGTTTGTGCAGTAGTCTCAGCTACAGAAAACCCTCCTCTGGCACGGTCTTTGTTGCTGAATAATCAAACTTTTCAGGTGTATTACAGGCCTAATGGACAGCTTGGGCAGTGTAACATGGTACACTTGTATAGCAGTGTTGATACAGAAATCAACACTTTCCCAAAATGAAGAGAGGATATACTCCATCACAAGCATTTCAGCAAATGTAAGTGGTTTAGATCTTTGGAGTGTTCCTTTAATGCAATCTATTTTCTGGATAACAAAAATTGTGCCTTTAAATCTCGGTATTGTAGCCTCACTACGTTCATCGTATATAAAAATGGGGGAATATTACACAAATCATTATCATTGCTCTGTTCAGCTGTGGTCCAATGCTCTTCCCCCACAGGTTAAGTTATGTGTTAACAGTTGTGATTAGATTAAAAATCTGTTAAAAATCTGCAGATAGACTAGATTCGATCTGGATAATCAACAGTTTCTTCTTCAGTAAGTCCATGTATTAATTTAAGCTAGCTAAACTCTTTAAAACATAACACAAGCAGTCCTCTCTCTCTCCCCCTTCATCCCCCCCTCCTAAGACATCATAAGCTGCGTAAGATTCCTTAATATTTTGCATTTTATTTCAGTGCTTTAGTGAAAACATAGAAATCAGATTTAATAATCAAAACCGGACAGCTCTACAGAGAAAGAAGCACATTAGCCTGGGTTTCCATTACTTCTAATTTGCAAATCAGAGGTAATAAGCAGTCGGCTAGATCAGGATAGATGTTCCACATGGAGGGGTATTTAACTTAAAGGAAATATGAAAGAGCTGCACAGATTGTGTAAAACACACTGATAAGAAAGTCCTTTAACCGACATATCGCAGACATCTACACAAGTCTTCATTCATTCTGGTCATCATCCCAGTCCTTCTTTCCCGTTGGGGCTTTGGGTCCACCTGCTGGTTTGGCCATGATTATCTGGCAAAGCATAAAACAATGTTAATATTCAAGTTAATCTTATTTAAATAACTGCACCTCATCATGCTCATGCAACAGTGCCAGAAACCTTAAAAACAGATATGTTTGCTTACATACCACACAAAGGGTACTGAAATACCATAGATTTGCCAATACAACTACAACTCCCACCAACCATTGCCATTAGATATATAGTTTGACAGCTGGCTGTGCAATAATAACCCATAGAACGTGCCATTTAACATACCCATTCAAAATAGTTTCGTCGGAATGAAAAAGGTTCTTACATAGTTGACTTTCCTCTTAAAATAGAACAAACTCAGCACAATTGTATTCAGCATTGATAATGGCTGAAACACCAGTGTATGTATGTGTGTATGTATGTATGTGTGTATATATATATTATATATATATATATATATATATATATATATATATATATATATATATATATATATATATATATATATATATATATTTATTTTTTTTCATGGGCAACAATTAAAATGGTGCCTTTCATCATCACTTTCTCATGAATTTTTCCAATCACTATCTTACAGGAGACAGATATGAATTTGCAGTATTCGATTGGGGCACTTTTCTAAATTATGCATGAATTTTAAAATGTTTGTTTTCACTAAGAACATGATTCTTAAAGTACGCTAAAACGAATTCCACACATTTTTAATAAAAGTGAGAATGACACTTTAATTCTAACATCCTAAATTGTTATTAGAAGAAATCTCTAATTGGTCATCGTTTACAATTTTGCCATATGAATATAACAGGCAAATTATATTTTGTACAACTGGTATAAGGAATTTGATGTTGTACAGTCTTCATACCAAAAGAAAAATACTCTTTTAAAAAAAAAAAGTCTGACTAAAAGATCATTTTAAAAAGGAAATACAAAAGTTTAAAAAAAATAATAAAAAAAAAATGTCTGCACTTTAGCAGCTTACCTATGCGAGTCTCAATGAGTTGCAATAGAGCTCATTGAGAAGGGGGAATGCAGGTGCTCTAGCACAGGGTGCCTACAGCTTCTGTTATCTCTGTGGAGTAACGGAAGCAAAAGAAAACCTCTCCGACTGTCCGATTCAGGGGAGGGGGAATTTCGGTGAAATTATATAAAAAGGGCTGACTTCTACTGAAATCCCTACTTTTATAAACGGTCACAAAAGAGACCCCAGACAAATAAAGCATGTCACCAAAGTGAAGTGCTTTATATGTTTGGAGCAGCCCTTTACAAGATGATCTCAAACCACTGCAAATGTTTTATAGTCAAAATACTAGTAATCAAATAGTCAAAAGACTTCCTGCAAACAAAAACAAATGAATACTTCAATGCCATTCCTCCAGTAGTGACTTTGAATTTAAGTTAATTAATAACAGAGACATTATCACACAGGTTAACTGGTTAGTAGTGATAGCATGCAGTGTGCAGTCCAATTCCGTGCAGGACAGTGTCGGCACCTGCTCATTTGTAACAACCTAATGTGTTTCAGGTTCATCTTGCCAATCATCTTTATCCCAGTGTCCTTGCTGTTTGGGAGCTCTCGGTCCACCAGCTGCTTTTGCCATTATAATCTACAAGTTTTACACAGTTCACCATGAACAAAAATACATAAAGGAAAAAAACCAAACACACAGGTGCTCCAACTACTCACCCTTAAGGCAGACGTTTTGACACAGAATGTCTAAAACACAACTAAATACCTTTTCCCCCCAAAAAATTCATGTAATAAATACTAAAATGCTGAATGAAATTTCATCAACAGGGAAGATGATAAATTTGTAAATAGATTTTACCGGTTGAATTAATTTGTTTGCCAAGCCCTATAGCATTTTCCCCATCTATCAATAGCTACTACATAGTGATCTGGTAGCTACCGTCACAAGTGTTTCTTTATATCCAGTGTTTATATTGACAAATACTTTAGCTGCACTTTATTTCATAAGTCAAATATGTATAAATGGATTGTGAGGGCCCACAGCCGACTATTACCAAGGTTGTGTACGGTCTTTAATACTATCAGGGCTATTCACTAAACCCCTATATGTAGCAAACTGAAATCCAAATGGCAAACTTGAAGAAAAAGTCAATGCCATTTGCCTGGTCTGGCTGGTTCTATTTGCATATTTCGGTGTATGTGTGTTTTCAAACTGGATCACCCTGAATGTTCAGCAACTGGACAGGTTACGAAAAATCCACTCAGTTTACCTGATCTACTCGCAGAACAGTGACAGCAGCATTGGTTGCCAACTTAATTCCCCAATGTTTTCCAAGGTATGTGTCCAGTACCTTGCATTCCAACATATCTTTTACTGCTGCAGACTCTGCCTGGAAATTGATGTGAAAAAAAGTTCATGTCAGAGAAAGACACATATACAGTTATCAGTATGTCAAAGTAATGCATGGCATAATTATATATATATATATATATAAAAAAAAAAAATTCTAGATCAGCTTTACATCATACAAAAAAAAAAAAAAAAAACTCCCAGGGCTTAAAATTTTACTTGCCACGGCAAGACTGGATGACTCAAAATCACAATGGCTAACTTTTCACTTGCCAACGGCTAGTGGAAATTTTGAGCCCTGCTTTAAACCATCTTAAATGCACCGGTCAACTACAAAAGGAAAGGTGTAAAAGGCACGTTACACTTGAACTATATATGGTTACTACTGAATTGCTGCAAATGTGCAGACCATTACAAATTTTTTATTTAATAATCCTAGTTTCTCTCTAGGCAATTCCAATTATTATTTATTATAAAATATTTTACCAGGAAAGACACATTAAAAAGAAAACCTATTCAGGATACACTAGCTATAAAGAAAGCCATTTATGCTATGCTGGTGTCAACATAAATCATACATATCCATTATTATGAAGTTCAAAGCAAAAAATCCTAATAAGGAATTGGGGGTGACAAGTACCTCAATGTCAAACCCCACAGTCTTGTTGCCTTCATGATGTGTTGCATATAGTTTGGAGATCACTTCATTGGCTTTCACCCCTGAGTTCTCTGCTAATGCTCTCGGAAGGCTCTCAAATGCCTCTGCAAACTTCTTAATAGCGTACTGATCAAGGCCAGGGCAAGTCTGAAATTTGAATTAAAAAAAAATAAAAAAATAAAAATAAAAAACGACAATATGTATTATCACAGGTGGGGTATAAAGTAACCAATATGGGTAATAAAATTACATTTTTTTTCCCCCAGTTACCTCTCCATACGATGTGATCTCCTTTGCCAATTCTATTTCAGTTGCTCCACCACCTGGGACAAGACGTTTATCCTTCAATAAAATAAATAATTAGATAACTATGCTGACATAAAAGGTTTGCAAGAAAACAGTTTTAGGGGCTGCCTTGTCTGTACACAGATGTAAAGCCTGCGTGACTTACCCTTGTGAGAACTTTAAAGTTGTTTACTGCATCGTCAACAGCCCTCTCTACATCATCCATGTGGTTGTCTGTTGAACCACGAACAACAATAGTAGCTATGGCACCATCTTCCTTTTCTATTGAAAAAGGAATACAAAAATTACCCCATTAGTACTACCTATTAACAGAATGAAGTGCATCTTCCTGTCTGATCCCCATCATTTAATTGCACAAGATAATCTAGGGAAATCCTGTGATCTTCCAGGACCTTCCAGAGACTATGTTTAGTACTACCCTTCACACATCAGTATAGAAAGAAAAGCCAGTTCACTACCAGGAGCTGAAGATCAGAAAAAGTGACAAAACAAGGCGGGAAAGTTTTAGGAAACAAGCACTCTCTCTCTCCTCCCCGTCCCCCCATGAAGAAATAAAAAGGCAGTTACTATTTCTGATTCAGATGTTTTCTTCTAAAATTAAAACTAAAGGCACAGGATTACACAGAAATGGCAAGACATCCAAGGATACCTTATTGTATCCACATATGCAAGGTTTTACAACAATAAACATGATACATACCATGTTTAAACACAACAACTTGAGTGTCTCCAACTTCAGATAAATAAACATCGTTGCAGTGACCCATTTCATCTGGCGTAGGAGCCGTCTACACAAAAAGAAATAAACTTAAAAAGATTAAGGGCATTCGAAGGAAGAAGTCTAGGAACAGCAATAATGTTGTATTACAAATATCATGGTCTATGAAATTGCATAAACACATGTTGGGTCATCACTGGTACTTTGAAACAGATCTTATGAAAGTATTTAGAAAATTGGGCAGACTAGATGGGCCGAATGGTTCTAATCTGCCGTCATATTCTATGTTTCTATCTTCAATTGGCATTTTACATTTTCACACCAACACCGCAGGGGCTCAGCACTAGGCTCTCAATAAATTAACTCATTGGAGGCTTATTCCCAGACCTCCAACAGTGCAGAATAACTCAAAATGTATAGGTAAAAAAGTGACAAATCTCTTACAGTATATCCATGAAGTACTTTACAATTTGGGCAAAAATAAATTAATTTAGGAAATGTTTTTCACTCAGTTTTCTGAATAGGGAACTAGTGATATGCCAAGAGGCGCAGCGCATTAACTGAGGTGATCAGTGATGGAAGTACCAGAAAGAACAGATGCTATCTTAGAAAGATTTGTATTGAACGGTTAACAGGGACCTCAGCACCAAAACAACTTTAATAAGAGTTCTTGTATAGCAAGACCACTTAATATCTCACATATATATTATTCTCAACAAATTTACCACCCCAACTCCTCCCACAGTTTTTACACTACATAGACAGTAATATACCGAAACGTGCGGATTGTTCCCGATCGGATTGCTATTACTTTCTGGAACGTTTCGCCGAATGGTTCACAAAATATGGTTTTTGTGGCGAAATTGGTCCCATAGGAATGAATGGCAAAATGTTCAAAACTAGAGTGGGAGCTGGCAAAAGCTGAAAAATCAGGACATGATTTCTAAACTGTCACCACTCACTAATTTCCAAGCCGGCCTACACAAATCTTATATCAAAACGTTCGGCTATCCCTGCTGCCACTAAAAATGTCCACGGCTAAGCCATAGTCCTGATAGTTTTCACAATATAATCATTTGTTTGCAACTCACACCATCCATTGACATTCATTGAAACTCCACTCTACAAAGCTCAAATTTGAAGGGCAATTTCTAAACTGCGACTGTGCCTTAATTTTTACTATTTCAGAGACATACTATGCATCAAAATGTAGGTCTGGGTCTTGTGATTCTCACAATATAAAGCTCTTCACTGTAGGATTTATAGTTTTTAAAATACGACCGTTTGAAGAAGGCAACCGCCAGTGAAGTGAGCAATTTGGAGCAGTTTGTTTTTAACCGCTCTTCTCTGCCCTATTTGAAATCTATTAGCTCCTGCTGACAGTTGGTGGAATGTTCGAGGGATTTGAAAGCTCTTCTTTGCCCTGTTTGAAATCTATTAGCTCCTGCTGACAGTTGGTGGAATGTTCGAGGGATTTGAAAGCTCTTCTTTGCCCTTGCTGTAGAGTGAGTGAACCACACAACAGTTACTCCAGCCACTCCACCCAGTTACTCCGCCCACTCCAGTTGTAGACTACTGGTGGAGGCAAGAACTCTTCACACAATTTCCCCAGAAATTGTAGCTTTTCTAGTACTGATTAAGGTTTTATTATAAAATTAAGATATTATGGTACTTTGCAATGAAAATTCCCATTACAGGATAGGTGCAAGTCAATAGCAAGCATCAGATCCAAATGCATTGCAACATACCCAAACCCTTAAAGTTTTAGGGCTTTAATCTGATTTGACATAAAACAAAAGCGAACTTTTCTTAAAGTTTTACACGTTACTTACTAGTCTTGGGAGAGCTGTAGCACAAACCGTTTTACAAAGTCTCCTCAGATCCCATTTAGAGTTTAACCTAAAATAAAAAAGTAAGTTATAGCTCAAACGAATCACAATTACCAAACATTTTATTTTAATGCCAACCCCTCCATCCAACAGCCAGATACTGGGCCTTACCTCACCAACATGAGATTGTATTTGTTGACATAATGAAGGGCCATATCAGCAACTTTGCCTCCTGTGACTACAACACTGGCTCCAGCATCAGCTATGGCCTTCACCTGTTCCTCCATTAGATTTTCTTCACCCTTGCTGAAGTTCATTAGTTCTTGTGCATTATTTATTAATACAGTACCCTGTATATATATATAAAAAAAAAAAAAGTTAGGTTTACCATGAAATACTTTATTTATCCCCCCCCCCCACCCCCTAATGTCACATTACAGTTACTAAATAAACCTCTTTATTATTTAAGATTTTGAATAAGCTTTTCAGATGATACAATATATTTGGATAAACTTTTTAACCCAAAATATGACATCAAAATAAATATATCTAACTATAGGACTAAAGCACGTGGCTTATTAAGGTCTTGCCTTGGTGCAGGAAAGAGGAGAGTGATTTAAAACACACACACACACACACACACACACACACACACACACACACACGTCGGGGGAGTGAGGGCAGAGGGACACTGTACGTTTAGGAACACAGTTTTGTATTCCTAACACTATAGTGTTGCTTCAAACTGAAACTATATACAAAACCTGCAAACATTTTGGATTGCAAGTTTGAAAGCAGTCTGTACAAAACCAAAATGTATAGGATTGTATTGTCAAATTAGAGGAATTAGTCCATTGAATATGTAAAAAACCAATACTAAATAAAAGTGCTGGCATTGTTATTTATTTAGCAACAGTCAAGTAAAAACAAACCATCAATACTGTAGTGTACAAAAGAACAAACTGCAAAATCCAACACAATACTCTAATAACTTACCTTAGTTTCAGTGATCATACCATCAAAAGGACATGAGTATACTGCAATTTTGGCATCTTTTACAGAGGTGACATTTCCTTCTGTTTCCTTCTTGAAAACCATTCCATGTAAAACAGATGACGACCCTATGCCACAACCCTGTAATAACAGTTTAAATTTTTTTTTTAAAAAATCATTATTTCTGCACTTACGTACAGAATTTAATCATCAATGTCTTCTGTACACAGTAATACATTTATTTTAGGTTAATAGATTATTTGTTGAGTCTTATTTCGAGCAGAAAAATCATAATCTCTGCTGGTGTTACATACCAATATCTTGCACACCCTGATGTTGTCGACATTGAAGTGGCCAGATTCAGGAAGTATAGAAACTAAAATCAAATAAAATGCAGGCGTTAGTAAATTGCCTGTGTAAGTCTGGAAAAGGAGCAATTGATGTCATTAATTAACCTTACCACATGCCTGAGCGATAAGTTTTGAAAGGAAAGGCTCATTCCCATACTGCTTGCTCATAATGGAGGTCTGAAGGAGAGAAGCAACTTCGTCGATGTCCCGCAGGTTCTTTGCCGAGCTGCAGACCAAATCAGGGAGGATTTCTAAAGCTTTCTTGCAAGCCTTTTCATATCCTTCAATTACCTTGAAAAAAACACTAACATTTTTAAAAACTAAATAACTGGCTATAGAATAGATTTGTGAAAAAAGTTAAACACTTGAAAGCAAAAAATAAATAAAATATATATATTAATTGCATAGACTGCAACGCACATGGAATGTACAGAATTGACAGAAAAATACTGTTCAATACAAAAAAAAAAAGTAATAAAAATTAAAGGAAAATAAATAAATCAGTATTAATAGTAGATCTAGTTGAAACTGTAATAAACAAGTAGACAAACCTCTGATACAGAAAGGCCCATTCGGAGCAGCTCCTCTGCCAGCTCCAAGAGTGCACCAGCAAAAATAAGCACAAAGTTAGTGCCATCACCGACTTCCTGCTCTTGCATGTGAGAAGCCATGACAATCATTTTAGCTGCAGGATGCTGGACCTGTAACAGGACAATAAGGCACACAATGAACTTTAGTATAAGTCTGGCAAACCGCAAGTTCTATTTTTACTTTTATTAAAAGCAGGTACCACAAAATGTTTTCTTAAATATTAACCTCTTATCAGTATAGGGTGTAAGTTATGCAAATGGTTGTCCTTCCTTGGCCCCCAGCTTTCACTGGACTCCACAGACAGATTTGTACTGCTGCTACCAAGCAAGGAATCACAGCCCGCGTTCAACATATAAGGTGTACTTATACATGGTGTTTGTGTTTTAAACCTTTGTGCACAGATCCAATTCCTGTAAAATGTGTGGATGTCATGTGTATACTTGCCTCAAGTTCACGGAGAATAGTGGCTGCATCGTTTGTAACAAACAACTTCTCCAAGTGATTGATAACCATTTTGTTCATTCCTACAGATGAAGTTACATTAGAATATTAATAAATTGAAGGGGGAGGAAAAAATACACATAACCATTTATCTTTAACAAGTATTGAAAAAGAAAATTTAAAAAAAACAACATCATTATTACTAACCATTTGGTCCATATGCAGAGCGAGTAGTTTGGGCAAGTTCTTTACAAGCTTGAATATTCCTGTACACAGCTTCTTCTAAACCTGAATAATGCTGAAAAACAAACAGTTATTGTCAGAGTTGATGAGTACACACAAAATATCCAACAACAACAAAAAAAAAACAGAAGGAAGAAAAATAGATATGAAAAGAGAGGGGTGGAAAGGCAAGAATGTGGCTAATGACCAGAATACTCCATCTCTTGTTTGTTGCTTTTAGATATCCACAGAATGTGTTTAGTCCTATATAACCAATATATAAAATGCACTTTGTCTAACACAGGCACTGAAAGGGTTAATTTATAGATCCTGTTAATCTCCTCCCGCCGTTAGGACGTTCCATAACATCATTCACAAATTGGGCTTAAATGTCTGCTGGATAGCATGAAGCACACTGCAGATTTGGTGTGAACATTGCAAGATCCCTGCTCAGACCACTATCTACAGTGTTAAATAGTAAAACCCATTTTCTAATATCAGAATTGATATTAGGAGTGGATTACCTTAAGGTTAGTGGTGAGGTTAGATTTAAGGGTATGATTAAGTTAGGGCTATGGTTAGTGTTAGCTTTAGGATTGGGGTTTGTGTAGGATTAATGATGGGTATGTGTTATAGATAGTGTTAATATTAGGGTAAGCATGCGCTAGAGTTACTGTAAACATTGGGTAAGGGGTAGGGTTGGTATATCGTTGGTGTGAGTTAGTATAGGATTAGTGATAAAGTGACTGTAGTCAGAGAAACTTAAAAGGGATTCTATAGTGTTATGAATACAAAGTTGTATTCCTTACACTATTGTGCCCTCTGGTCAGCCAAACCCACGCGCTCCCCACCCCCGTTGCACATAAAAAGTGTTAAAAACCCCTTTATTCACATACATGATTCCAGCACCAATGTCCCTCTAGATGCTGTCTTAGTGCTTCAATGTAAAACATTGCAGTTTCTCTAAAACAGCAGTATTAAGTAGGACAGGGACCCTGCACCCAAACCACTTCAATTGTCTGGATGCCTATAATGTCTTTTTAATGAAGTGGTTTTGGTGTTTATAGCATGTTCCTGCAGGCTTTTTAATGTAAACACTGCCTTTACACAGAAATTGCTGCCTAGTAACACCTCTAGGTCACTTACTAGAACTGCTTTCTGTGTTGTGTTCAGAATCTACATGCCCTGCATGTTCCCCATAGAAATGCAATGATTTATTGCATCTCTATGAGGAGATGCTAACTGGCGCAGTGATTACGTTTTGGTGCAGTGATATGGCCTCTCAATGCTTTACTATAGGGAAGCATTGGATTGGCTGAGATCAGGTTTGGAGAGACCCTTGCGGCGTGGTAAAAAAGGTGATTTAAAAACCTTTTCACTGCTCTGACAGGATGTCGGGGACCTAAATAGTGGCTTTAACACTACGGTGTAGTGTCAGGAACTATAGTATTCCATTAAATATCAGAAATATGTTTATTCATGATTCTATTTTGGATTTTTATTTATTTTTTTTTTTATTTTTTTTTTATTGGACTGGAGTTAAAAAAAAAAACTTCAAGTCATTTAAATGACCTGATATGTCCACACTCCTAACATACAACAATAAAATCATTACAAAAGTAATAATATAGCTTGCATGATTTCTCAGAAAATGTGATGTATGGATAACAGACTGAGGGAATGCTAAAACCAGCAGAGAACTCTACATAACATTGCTTCCTTTTAAGGCTTTACCGAAACAGGAGAATGGTGAAGGAGAAAATGGATGAAGGCAGGGTTAAGCAATAATGTTCTTCATCTTATTATAATACAGGAATTTACCTATACATAAAGAAGCATATAGGGTTTAATTCACAAAACAATGGATTGTGGTGAAGTGAAAGCCACATTCTGTTTGAAAAAACCCAGGATGTGATTATAGCAGAATCTGAGTCATCTAAAGTGTGATTTTCACAGTGAGAGCACGCAAGCGTCCATAGGAAAGCATTGTAAATGCTTTCCTATGCGACGGGCTGAATGCGCGCGCAGCTCTTGCCGCGCGTGCGCATTCAGCCCAGGAGGAGGATCGGAGGAGGAGAGGAGGCAGAGAGCTCCCCGCCCAGCGCTGAAAAAGGTAAGTTTAAACACCTTTTCCCCCTCCAGAGCCGGGCGGGAGGGGAACCCTGAGGGTGGGGGCACCCTCAGGGCACTATAGTGTCAGGAAAACGAGTATATTTTCCTGGCACTATAGTGGTCCTTTAAGTTTCCCACGTGGTTAACCTCTTAAGTGACAAACGGTTATTACTTTACAGCAACATAAAAAAAACAAAAAAAACACACACTACACCATTTGATTATAATAGCGTTATATTTTTAGATTGCAAGCTCACGGGCTATCTAGCAAAGCACTCTGTATAAGAGGAGATCTTCAGGGGCTATATGTCTGCTCTCACAGGCTGGGCCCTCTTTACCTTTTTGTATTGGTCTGTTTTATTTTGTACTGCGTCGTTTCACCCCCAAATTGTACAGCGCTGGGGAATATGTTGGTGCTTTATAAATGCCAGTAACAAATAATAATAATAATAATAATAATAATAATAATAAATAAATAAATAAGGGGGCCAGGCCCAGACAAACTACAGTAATGGTTGATGTATTAATTTTATTATTGGGGGAAATAGCAAATCAAAGAGAGGAAAAGGAGTATTAACCCTTTAACCCCTTAAGGACACAGGGCATGAGTGACAGGTCAGGATTCCCTGTTATTCCAGAAGTTTGGGCCTTAAGGGGTTAAACTGGCTGATTCACAGTCAGCCACATGGTTAATGCTTCCATGGAAGAACAATGAAATGGTTAAATGGGGGGGGGGGGGTGTCACTGGCACTCACAGGGTTAATGCGCGCCCCCAGGGTGACAGACTGACAGTATGACAGACAGACGGACAGGGTGTTCTAGAAGTTTCCATGTCCCTCCTGGCCCCCCGGGGCCCCCGCTGGCCGCACCCCGCTCTCCTCACACTCACCTTGGCTCCATCTTTCAGCATCTGGGCGAAGCCCGGGGCCTTGGGGACGTGCAGGGCCATGGTGGGAGTCCGGGGAGGCAGGCGGCAGGCAGGAGGAGAGACACTGCCGGCGGTCAGTCAGTCAGTCAGTCAGGGGAGAGAGAGAGCGTGAGTGAGGGAGCGTGAGATACCCACAATGCCGCGCGCCGGGGATAGACCGAGCCAGCCGAGCGGCCGATAGAGTCGCTCTCAGTGTGAGCGCGGGAGCTGGGGAGGGAAGCGGCGCGCGGCGCTCTATACACGCTGGGATCGATGCGCTCCGGTGCGACTGGTATTCCTAGCGGCCTGCTGACAGCTGCCAGACTTCCTTTGTGTAAAATGGAGAGCTCCATAGAGAGCATGCGGTCACAGAGAGACATGGAGACAGAGAGAGAGACAGAGACAGAGAGAGAGAGCTCCATGGAGAGCATGCGGTCATAGAGAGACATGGAGACAGAGAGAGAGACAGAGAGAGAGAGCTCCATGGAGAGCATGCGGTCACAGAGAGACATGGAGACAGAGAGAGAGAGCTCCATGGAGAGCATGCGGTCACAGAGAGACATGGAGACAGAGAGAGAGACAGAGACAGAGAGAGAGAGCTCCATGGAGAGCATGCGGTCACAGAGAGACATGGAGACAGAGAGAGAGAGAGCGCTCCATGGAGAGCATGCGGTCACAGAGAGACATGGAGACAGAGAGAGAGACAGAGAGAGAGAGAGCTCCATGGAGAGCATGCGGTCACAGAGAGACATGGAGACAGAGAGAGAGAGCTCCATGGAGAGCATGCGGTCACAGAGAGACATAGAGAGAGAGAGAGCTCCATGGAGAGCATGCGGTCACAGAGAGACATGGAGACAGAGAGAGAGAGCTCCATGGAGAGCATGCGGTCACAGAGAGACATGGAGACAGAGAGAGAGACATGGAGAGCATGTGGTCACAGAGAGACATGGAGACATAGAGAGAGAGAGCTCCATGGAGAGCATGCGGTCACAGAGAGACATGGAGACAGAGAGAGAGAGCTCCATGGAGAGCATGCGGTCACAGAGAGACATAGAGAGAGAGAGAGCTCCATGGAGAGCATGCGGTCACAGAGAGACATGGAGACAGAGAGAGAGAGCTCCATGGAGAGCATGCGGTCACAGAGAGACATGGAGAGAGAGAGAGAGAGCTCCATGGAGAGCATGCGGTCACAGAGAGACATGGAGACAGAGAGAGAGCGCTCCATGTAGAGCATGCGGTCACAGAGAGACATGGAGACAGAGAAATAAATATATATCAGAGTATCAATAATAAAAACCAAATTCCCCTTCAATGATAGCCTCTGCAGAGGCTATCTAATAGTGAGGACTGAGACCCTTTACTACCTGAAAGATAGTCTCTTGAAATACTCACTTAGGGTCACAGTATTCTCAATATTATATTGTGGAAATACACTAACCATCAACACAGTATTCTCAATAATATATTGTGCAAATACACTAACCATCAACAAAGGAAGGGGATCATATAGAAATAAAAGTAATAATAATAATACCATTAGCGATACAATATGTGCATCGATATATAGTATTCTGTGGAACCGGTTCTGACCAAAGTATCCAACGATCTACTCGCTGCAAAATATCGTGGTCACTATTCTATCCTAATTCTCCTTGACCTTTCCGCTGCTTTTGACACTGTTGATCATCAACAGCTTCTTCTAATCCTCCATAATCTCAGTCTATGAGATACCGCTCTCTCCTGGTGCCCCTCCTTCCTCTCCCAGCACTCTTTCAGTGTTTCTTTCTATAGCTCTAAATCTTCCCCCCCACAACATCTCTCTGTTGGTGTTCCCCAAGATTCAGCCCTTGGTCCCCTACTTTTCTCAATTTATACTGCCTCCCTTGGTAAACTTGTAAACTCATAAACTCCTTTGGCTTCTATTATCACTTCTATGTGGATGTCACGCAAATCTATCTGTCTTCTCCTGATCTTTCGCTGTCCCTCTTGACTCTTATTGCCTCTCTGCTATATCTTATCTTATATCTATAACTTGTACAAAACAGAACTTCTGGTCTTTCCTCCCTCAAGTGTTGCTACTCCCATTTCTGTCTCCCTCCACATTAATGAGGCTACCATCAGCTCGCTGCCTAGGTGTTCTCTATAACTCCGACCTTTCTTTCACCCCTCATGTCCAGTCACCAAATCCTGTCGCTTCCATCTCAAAAACATTGCACGCATCCGACCCTACTTAACGCCAGATGCGGCAAAGGTGCTGGTCCATGCCTCTGTCCTCTCTCGCCTTGACTACTGCAATCCGCTTCTCAGTGGTCTTATGTGCTCCCAACTTGCCCCGTTAAGTCTATAATGAATGCGGAGGCGAGGCTCATCTTCCTGTCCGCACGCACCTCCCATGCCTCACCCCTCTGTTATCCTCTGCATTGGCTTCCCAAAAGATATAGGGCTCAATATAAAATTCTGGTTCTTGCTTTCAAATCTCTACATAATGCTACTCCCACCTATCTATTCTCCCTAATACACAAATAGGTCCCGTCTTGGCCCCTATGCTCTGCCAAAGACCTACGCCTATCTTCTGTTCGTACTCCCACCTCTGATGCTCGCATTCAATACTTCTCTAGGGCTGCACCGTTCCTTTGGAACTTCCTTCCCTCCTCCATCAGACGCTCACCCTGTCTCCACTCATTCAAAAAAATCATTAAAAACTCACTGCTTCACAATAACGTATCTTTACCCCACTCCCTCTAGCATGTAAACTCATTGAGCAGGGCCCTCAACCCCTCTGTTCCTGTGTGTCCAACTTGTCTGGTTACATTTACATGTTAGTCCACCCATTGTACAGCGCTGTGGAATTTGTTGGTGCTATATAATAATAATAGTAAGCCAAATGCAGATAACCTAGAATGGTATTGTAATACTTATCTGAGGTCTGAAGAGGTCTCCAGTACACTCAATACAAAGTTATTTCCTAGATGTGTACATTTTGTATTACACTCTTCTAGTCAGCAGGGGTCACTACATTAAACATATATAATACACATACTAGGATCAATGCTTATAATGGCCAAACAAAATCAAAAGGAGAATAAATAGGAATAGAGAACTATGTACCGGTAAATGTAAGTGAGAAATTGCTCACTTTACCAGTAGGGATTCCGATTGAACAGCCATAACTGCACTCTAGAAGAAAATGTTGCTGGTGTAAATGTTCACTTAGTGAATGGACAATTTTGCTAATTGCTAATTTTGTAAATACACTTTAGTGACAGTTCTATTATGTATTTTATCAGAAATTAAACTAAACTTGCAAAAACATACCTCCAAACAATTCCGGATTAGTCAAAACAGGCAGGAATTCGGGATCCTGCCCTGCTATTCTGTTTTTTTATCTTTTTTATATATTTTTATTTCTGCTTTTGTGTGAAATCCCCAATAATTGAGAAAAAAAACTATATCCAATAATACCAACAATTACCAGTCATTGTGACAAATAAATCTCACAAAAAAAGTAATCTTTAAATAGTCCCCATAGAGTCTGCTATGCTTCCAGTTTGAATAGTTTGGCATTAAATTTGAAAATCACATTGAATTTCTGACAAATCTCACTTTAGTGAATAATCCTATGAGATATCTCATTGCCATATATGTCCTGAGGAGAGTAAACAGTTATAATGTTACAAAGTTAACATAGAACTGCTACAAATACACACTTGTTAAAGAAACATTTCAGTTACCATTAAAAACGTCATCTAAATAAATACATATTCCTACCACCATGACCACTTCTAAAAGCAAAAATTGTCGTGGAGTTTAGAGTAACCCTTTTACAATATGTCAATCAAAAAGGCAAAGAACTACCATATTCTCTTAATAATTAATTTATTGTGTGAACCTCTAAAAAAAAAAATTGCACAGTAGTCTTGGATGGCTTCTTAATTTTTGTTTTGTCTGAACATATTCAGACGAAAATTTTTTATTTTTTCACCCGAACAGAATTTCGTACGTTCGTTCATATGTTTTCGGACAAAATTCAGACATTATTTTCGTTTCAGAATTTCATTTGGACTTGCAGCCGTTTAGTAGATACCTCCCTAAATTGATATGGGGTTGCCATATTTCAAGGTACTCAATTAGGGAGCTGTTTACTAGAAAGCACTTTTTTGGGATCTTTATGGAAATCCCAAAAGGATTAAGGGGCTATTTACTAAGAGGCTGAAAGATCAAAATTCAGAAAATGCCTTTCCTTTTCGTAATTTTGGTCTCTCAGGCAATTTTACTAATACTAAGTAAAAAAAATACTTAATATTATTAAATTAAAGAGGTTAAATCCTCCTTCCTGCCAGATGCTGTGTCGCGGGTAGGGGTATGTACACTAAACAGAGACTAGTGTTCGCTGTTATAGAAAAAGACTTGCAACTCTGCATAAAGGGGGACCTGGCACAGGTCCTCCATGCCCCCTTAGTGAGGCACTTAATAAAATAAGTAACTCTGCGGTCTTAATAAATGCATGGGGGACATAGTGTTCCCATCCAGCCCCCACCCATAGCCACTAAATAATAATGAAGGGGGAGGTGTTGCAGTTACTAAAATATAGAAAGGACCCGATCGCAAAAAAAAATATTATTACTATTATCGCCCCCCCAACAACATGACTAAAAAACAAAACAGACAAGGGCGGAAAGCCTTATAAAGCTGCAGACTGCACATTCATAAAGTTTGTGTTTGATATGCCAAATTATAAATTAAAATGATTTACCTATCCATAATTTAAATAAGTATTACTTTTGATACAGTATATTTTAACCTACAGTGGCAATGCAGCAGAATTTTATCGATGGGCACTGTCTACTCTTTGTGGGTAATATTTGTATTCCATGTGATGTCTGGCACAGTGAAAGATGTCTCACAACTGATCATGTTGGCTGGTGTGATGTCTAATTGGACATGCAAAGTACTTGATAATTGCCTTCACTATTAAAATGTCATATAAAATTTTTATAGATGTAATTCTGCTCATCAGGCATACTTTGTACTTGCAGCGGCCAAACAAATGCTTGTAATATGCTAACTAGTTCTGGCCTCCTAGCCTCCGTTGCTTCTATGCAAATTGTCAGAGTAGACATTAACAAGCTATTAATCAGATCACTGATGTGTTGCCTCAATTGTGCAATTTTCCAGGTACTGAATGAAAGAGTGAAAAGTCTTTACTATTTTGTTGATGCAAGATGACAACATAAAACTTTTAAAAATGTATTCTATTTTTCCCTCCGAGACATCGTTTTGAATAACTATATCAAACATTTTTACCGATGGGGAAATTACAGAGTAAAATATTAATTTTCTGTATCCCATAAGCCTTACAATACCATTGATTTAACCAACCTATTTGTAACATGGAGCATTAAAAAAAAACCTCCAAGCACCATAACAGTGCAGGGCCAGCTCACTGGCCTAGAGCGTCGGCTGTGGCAGCATATAGTGGTTGTGGTGCCAGGAGTGCCCTGTAGAACCTATATTGTAAGTAGTAAATCCATTTTAGAGTGGTTTAACTTTTTTTTTCTGGGGTCTCTCCAGTGCTGCTCCCCACTTCCACTACTGATGATGGAGAGCCAGAAACCATTATTGTAACTGGCCTTTGCAAAACCTCTGTGAAATATATAACACATCAATGGTAAATGTTCTAAACAAGTAAATAAATAATGATGAAAGCAGTAATGTAGAGGGTTATGCAAAACAGTATTAACATGAACGATTCTTGCTCTCTTAAGATTTTAATTTCGTTTTTATATGACTCATTTTGTATAAATTTTGTATAAATTATACAGGTTCCACAGGCTGTCAAGTGCATAATTGGTGGCACCATACCCTGTATGGTGGCTGTGACAAAAGGGTTAATGCTTCAGCAAAGCCTACTGAACTTAATTTCTGTGACTGTTAAGGAACAGCAAAATAGATTCATTTTAAAGGGACACTATAGGGTCAGGAACACAAACATGTATTCCTGACCCTACAGTGTTAAAACCACCATCTGGCCGCCCTAAATATAGCAACATCTTACTTTTATTTCAGTCTGCTGCTGCCCCGATCTGCCTGCTTGGCTGACATTATCAAAAGTGGAGATCTGAGCCAATCACAATGCTTTATCATAGGAAAGCATTGAATTGGCTGAGACTGTCAAGGAGGCAGATAAGGGGCAGAGCCAGCACATGCCAAACACAGACCTGGCCAAGCA